TATTATATATAGTTTTATATATATTATACAATAGCTCTTAGTTTTTTGCGTTATAATGATAACGCAGCCATACATTATAACGAATTTTACTTTTTCAAACAGTGTAGTGCAATTATAAGGACAGCAAGTAAAATAAGGACGTATCATTTTCTCGAGTACAGATTCTCCGAATTTTGTAAGTAAAATTAACTCAGTATTGTTTGCTACTGTACAATATTCTGTCTTAATAAGTGCAGGTGTTGCAGGTTTCCACTTCCAAGCTGTGAAAGGAGGGAGCTGGAGTCAACCGGTAAGTACTGCCCACTTCATCTCACCCAGTACAAACCAAGAGTACTACTTCAGGACATGCCAGAAAACTTCAAATAAATAAACTACAGCTGTGCAGTGGAACGCTGACTTTAGCTACCTCACATCGCAACTGGAATCCAGAAAAATGGGTCCCAAATCCAAAACAGGCGTTTATCTGAGTAAAACAGCGGTAATACTGTTCACGCTACTCTTCGCTGGTTTGCTCGTTGGCTTTACAACTTTGGCAACTCTTTACGCCAGATCACGGATTGATTATGGAAACAGGACACACGACGAAGAGCTAAATCAAGAGTCTACCACTAAGGGTTATATCCTTGCGTCCACAATCACACCAACGGTCCCCGAAATCTGGGGTAGCCACAGACTTCCTCAGACTTTGGCACCTATTAATTACCAGCTCGAGCTCTGGCCACGTCTGGAACCCGATGATAACGACAATTACCTTTTCACCGGTGAGATCAACATCACCTTCACCTGCAAACAAGAAACGGATCTGATTGTACTTCACAGCGAAAAACTCAATAACTCAGGAGTTGAACTTAACGTTGTTACAGATGGGGAAACAGATGTTCCACAGGTTTTAGACATACTGAATTCGGATGTGTACTCCTATATGATTATTCAGTTATCTAAGACACTAAAAGAAGGTAGTTTTTACGTACTGAGAATCAGGTTTTCCGGATATATGAGTACTGGTAGACGGCTTGGGCTTTTTGTCTCTCATTATACAGAAGACGGACAAGACATGTAAGTTTATTCTCTTTAAGGACTCTGTTTTCTCAATTATTTGAAGAAAAAAAAAACAGATGGTTTTGAGATTATATATTTTAACTTATATCTTATATTTTTAAATTGTTTTGTTGAATGATGGGTCCCACTAGATCATTAAAGACTGGTACACTATATTAACGTTTATATGCTGGTTAAGTCCATTTTCGATCTAAAACACAATAATTCCACAGGACCACACAGTCCAAACTTTTTCAATTAAAGGTAATTAATGCAAATCTAGTGTATAAATATATTGTTAATATATGTTAATTAAAATTAATTTTGAAAAAGCAGTTCATTAATGCAGTTGCATTTATCACTTAAATAGTAGTAGTCTAAAATTACATTAAAACAATAGTGCTTACATCTCTCAAGTCTTTCTCCATAAAAACTATCAACTTAAATATATTAATATACAGTTTTCAGTTTGGATTTAAATATTTTAACATTTACTAGCTCTGTGGGTTATTTTTGACTAGGAATATTTTTGAAGTATGTAGTGAGTCCTTATGTCCACAAGGGGGAGATCTGCAATACCAGAGCAGGGAGTTCTCCATGAACACACCCACTTTCTCGCTGCTAAACTCACCAAGACTACAGTTCAGTCAATAACAGTGATGCCACAAACACAAGGGTGGCAACCTTAAGAAAAATGGAACATGACTGAACTAGCATAATACAAACAGACCTTATCTTTCCCGGCAGCTGCCCAGTTGAAGTGTGGTGCACTAAGTTTCTCAGGGCAGTTAAATATTTTGCCCCTTTGGGTGATATATCCATGCCAGCTCCACAGTTGTTAAATCACACCCAGGAAGGTGCAGGTCACATCAAGCTGTCCTGGGTGGACATGCGGGCAGCGTTTATGTACTTTTTAAGGCTGGAAAGTTGGGGGCAGATGGGGGAAAGGATAATCTTCCATAGACTTTCCAAACACCAGGTTAAGAGGATACATAGCTCTCTCCTCTGTAATGAGAGTGGCCTCATCATTGGGCATCTGTGTTCAGCACAAAGGTAGGCCAGAGCTGGTACTGTACCTTCATAAATGCCGAGTGGGGCCGCTGAAAGCCCATCTGGCAGTCCTCATTCTGGGGGAAACAGGATTTTTTAATGGTGAGGTGATGAGAGTAGTGGCAATGTCTGCAAAGCTGAAGATGACACAGTACTTGTAAGACGCCAAGCCTAACTGCATGTGTTTTTATTTAACTGACTTGGAGAATGGCCAGAAGCTGACTATTGCAACATTCTCCACATTGGTGTATGTGCTGTCAGGGATAATAATGTGTCCCAGGAATCTGGTCTTTTATTGCATTAGATGTCATTTCTTGGAATGACAGTATGGGAGGTCTTTGGCCCAGAGGCATATTCCTTAATTTGTCAAATGCCATGGAGAATTATATCAGCAAGTCAACACCTAAACACTTCACGCAGGACCCAGTGTCACACACTCTTTCCATTGCCTAAGTACAGTACATGTAGCCAGAATGTAGTGGAGGGCAGCCCCATCAAGACACAATCAGTAAATGCAGAACAGTACTCATGATTCAGCAATCCCAGATGTCAATGCAGAATTCACATTTCATAATTGAATTCTGTGGCAACTATCAGCCACAGAAAGTTTCTGTGAAAATTACCAACAGAAATGTGTATTAAAGCACACACATCCAGAAAAGAAAAAGAATACAAATAATACACAAATGAAAGTACACACCCTCTTTATTGCTTTATTCTATTCTGTAGGCGGTAAAATTAATTATTCTTCTACACACATTTGACATTCTCTCATTTGACAATTGCAGTTGTTTTTCCTGTTCATTGTAACACATCCTTCATCCATTTCAGTCTCCCTGCAGGCCTTTTTCCATTAGATCAATCTTGAAACATGGCTTTTGGTAGAAAGTTTCCCATTTGTCTAACCTTTTATACTTAGTATTTTTAGTTTTTAGTTCTCTTTGATTGTTCCCAGCAGCCAATGACCAGTGTTGATCTGCTCAAAGACGTTCCTCTTCATCTCAAATGCCTCTATCCCCTGACAATCAGCCTTCTTTAATTTAAAACTAAAACTAAATAAGTTTAAAACTGTACTTTGCAGCTGGCCACAGCTGGTTAGTATTGTAACGCATATGGCCGACTTTAGAGGTTGTGCGAGCCGGCCTACCAGCACGGTGACGTCGCCGCCCTTCCCTGTGAATAGCAGGGACCGCAGCCAGTGGGCTGACGGGAGCTTTCCCTTTAGCTCAGCTGGCTGGGTCCTTGTTGAGTGACGCCGGAGGCCCAGGTTCGAGTCCCCGACGGTGGGGGGCCGACCTGAGGCGGCAGCAGCGATGGCACGTACCCATGTGAACCTGAGAGCGCTACATTGATGTCAGAGTGGGATGGGATAGCCCTTCGCCGAGGATGGCGAATTAAGCGGGGGAGAGTGTAACGCATACGGCCAACATTAGAGGTTGTGCGAGCCAGCTTGCCAGCGCGGTAACGTCACCGCCCTTCCCTGTGAATAGCAGGGACCGCAGCCAGCGTGCTGGCGGGGAGATTTCCCTTTAGCTCAACTGGCTGGTTCCCTGTTGAGTGACGCCGGAGGCCTGGGTTCGAGTCCCCAACGGTGGGAGGCCGACCTGAGGCGGCAGCTGAGAGGGCGCATACCCATGTGAACCTGAGAGTACTACGGAACCTTCGCCTTTTTCTATTTTCAGGTTCTCCATCAAACAGGACACCTTTTTCAGGCAAGCTCTAATCGCCCTGGAGCAGTCTCTTTGATGACAGTTCTTTAATTGACAGTTGAACCTAGGTAGATAAAGTAATCTTCTATTCCAAACATGTATCTTTTACATGTTAATTGTTATAGTTCAGGTGGGTAGCTGTGTCAGCATGCGTAGGCTGCAAAGGAACAAGTAATAGATTTATTCAATGCTGAAAAATGCTTTTTCAGCATGTTAACTGTTAGCCAATCGGATACTAACACTTGTTTTTTTCTTGATGTTCCCTTGTTTCGGTTATTCTGTTTACTAGCTCCTGCAGTTTTTCTACTGTAGAGGTGAGTTGTATTAGGTCATCATCTTATTGTTCAGTAAGTTAGTGATATTTTTTACACCTGTGCTGAAGCCACATTTAAAACCTTCCAATGCTTGCTTGTCTGCCTCATTGCCATATTGCAGGATAATGTTATATAGGATAAGGTAGATGACGCACAAGTGGTGCACAACCTTATAGATTCACAATCATTTGGTCAAGGTGTTCCAGCTGGAGCTCTGAATAACAGAGTTTCTAAGGGCACACAGTTGAAAACTTTTTGGAAGTCCATAAAGCAGAGGTACAGTGGCCGCTGATGCACTCTTGCCTTTTCTATGAAGATTTGCAGATGTGTTATCTGAACTCTAGTATTACTGTTTGGAAGCAGCCTGTTCATCAGCATTCTCCATCTCTGCTTTGGAAGATTTTAGGATTTTAGGACTTTAGGATCACTCTTACAAGGATCTTGCTTGTTTGCGATACCAGTGCACTGTTTCAGTAGTTGTTACAGTCGCAGGAAACACTTTTTTAATATAATGGGATGAATACTAAATGTGTCCATTCCTCTGGCCATTCACCTGTCTTCCAGTTTTTGGAACATATAGCTTGGATCCCGATTGGCCTCCCCTGCTTTTTCAAGCAGGGCAACGGAAATATTATCTGGACCTACTGCCTTTCAACATGTTGCCATGCTCAGTTTTGAATTTCAGTGGTGCCAGTTCCCTTGTCTCAATCTGACATGATTTTATTTCATTTTATGACGTATTCCTGTTTTGTTCAGGTCTGTTTGCTTGTCTGGCCTAACTTCCCTCTGTGTCTGATTCTTTAGTTCCTGGCATCTCCTGGTATCTCTGCCTGACTTACGTCTTCTGTTCTGCTAACGTACTAATGTACTGTAAATGTTGAGTCATAGATCCAGGTGTTGATTTTCAGCCTTGCTTTGATTCCGAACACTCCTTGCAAGCCAGCCATGCCATGGCACTCATGAAGTGCCTGTATGAAATCTTTACTTAAAATCAAGAGTGCTTCAAATATTGTAAATCCTCAGTTGATAAGAGTTGATAAAAAGTTGATAAAAAACTGTTCCGAAGCTCATGAATATTGTGCTGGAGTACAAAAGCAGATCTACTGTTCATAATCACTTGAAATCAAATAGAGAAATCTATGATTCATATCACACAAAAAAACACATGATCAACATGTGCCATGGCTCTTGTGGCTAAATAACAAATTTGAAGGATTATTTGTCTTAATTTTTACTTTTAACTTAATGGCAAAATGACATTTTTTATAACATATAAAAAAGTTATAACATTATAACGATGAGAGGTACATAATAATGTTAAGTATCACAAATGTGTATAAAACGATACAATTACTCATATTCTAGCAGATGTATTTCAGTCTGATTATATTAAACCTTTTAATTAATATATACACAGTTTATATAGTACAGTATTTTCCTCACTTTCAGTATCCCAATGGGAATTGTAGTTTCTGGCAATGGCATTTCACAAGAAGGTCATCGGTTTTCTTAAATTCTTGTTCTTATGGAATTTTAAAATCTTACAATTCTATAGCGGTGGTGTGGTGGTATCTCTGCCTGACCTAACATCCCTGTTAATGTACTGTAAATGTTGATGTTCCAAATATTG